TTTGAAAAGTGTGGTGGTGAATAGGCTATGAATATCCCTACCGTTCGTCCTTTTATAAAGATCTCGAATTAGTTTCTCCAAGAATAATTCCCTAAGATTTTCATATGAATCTTAATCTGCATGTGTTTCTGAACTCGGAAGTTTTCTATGCGCCAATAAATACTCCAAAACATTCATGGAACCTTTAAAGGACACTCGAAAATCGTTCCGAAGACACATATCAACACATTGTCTTATTTGATGTTTTGCAAGGAGTTTTTTTATGATAACCTGAAAGTCTTCCGAGTTAATACCGTTTTTTGTTTTGAATATTACCTGAAGAATCTTTTCTGCTGCCTCTTCCCTGTCTTGAGAAATAAAAGAGGCAAATAACAGCGAGAGCGTGTTTCTCTTTAAGGGAGGTTTCAAGCTTTTAGTAATATACTCAAAGTTGGTACGATATTTCGGACTTTGACCAAAGTATGCAATCAAAAAGTCCACGATATCAGGATCTGTGTATAGTGTTTTTGGAAAGTAATTGAACAATAAGTCAGCAGATTCCTCATCATTTAGCTTTTCAATGAGAGATTGGAATAATATAACATTTTTCTGGGCAAATTCAGGATTCGAGTTCTGGTTCAACTTCCACATCTCCGCTGCCCTGTTAGAGTTCCCGTGCTTCAAGTTCGCGATTATTAGACGTTTTCTTGTTTCTATCAAGCTTCGGGCAAGAAGTGGGTTTTGGTTATATCTTTCTTGAAATTTATCATGCAATAGATTCGCGAAATACGGTGTTTGACTCAATGTCATATTTCGAATCGCTTTGAGAATAACCCTAGGCGAACACTCTCGCTCAAAAGCAAGCATTATTCTAAAAATTGCAAAATAATTGTAATTGCTCATCATAGCGTCATTTACACTAAGGGCGGAAATCAATCTTTCCGACGTTTCTGCTTTAACTTCAACTGGTAACTCTTTCGTGAGAAGTAGAAACAGTGCACCCACCAATGGCTCTCCAGATGTTACTGTTATTAGAATCAAAAGATCCATACACTTTGACCTGATTCCTGATTGTAAATTTTCCAAATCTGGGTTCCCTGTGGCATTTTCCTGATCTTTTGAAATTGAGGCTTCAACTTCCATAGCAAGAATTCTTTCGTATATGGTCAAAAGTCCAGAACTCTCTAGCTCTTTTACTCCTATGCAGAAAGAATGATAGTCTTTGCTGATAATGCATTGGAAAAGCTGGTTTAAATAGAAGCCCCGCATGGACTTAGACTGTACAAATCCTCGGCATAAACTGGACGCTATATGGCTTTTTATCTCTGGAAATTTTTGTAGATCTTCAAAAAGGTTTTTTGAGCAGCTAGAATAAAGTTCCTTCAATTTAAAACTAGTACGTTGGAAAACTTTTTCTCTGTTGAAAATGTTGGTTACTTTTGAAAGCCTTAGCTCGGCAGCTCTCGCAGAGGGGGCATCACTTTGCTCATGGTCATTTGATGATCGTTTCAGTTTTTTTGGTGTGAGACTTAAGTGACGATGAAAGCGGAAAGACTTCGTGATGCATTTATACAAATTGTTAAATGGTTTAGGCTTCAGCCCAATCATTGTTAGCAATGCAAAGAACGTACATGTATGCACTAGCTCTGATGCTCTTCTCACGTTGATCCTACTCTGCAGTACTAAGAGAACCCGGCAAACTTGATGAAAGGCAAAGTCGAAATACCTGTACATCGTACTCTTTCTTTCATTTACTTGTGGTAAAAAACTTATACACCTCAAAGCATGATTTGATCGAGCTTTCTAAAAAAACCAGAAAGTATATTCTCCCAATAAAACGCCGTGGTAGTAAAATTAAACATTTTTACATCAAAGTGCAATCAATGAGACTCAACCCGTACATGACTTTTTCAACGTGCTTTTTTATGAGCGGCCAGTCTTGCCGCCGCTGGACAAATTCGTAAATTTCTTCTTGGCTAAAAATTCCGTTGAATTTCGATAAATCACTCACGATTTGCCCAATAGCTCTTGCATCCTCTCCTCCAATTAGATATATTGTCCCGACTTTCTTCAACGCCTGGAAAAGAGGATAAATCATTTTTTTGTTGCTAGAGACATGGCGCAAAATGAAATCATAGTAAAGATTCAAGTCGAAAAGCAAGGTCACTGCTCCTTCAACAGAAATTGTGCTCCTCTTTAACAGCTTCACTATCGCTTGGAAAAATCGCTCACAAACTTCCTGTTGAAAGACTTCAATTATTGACTTATCTGCGGACCCGACGAGCAAATCGATATTGTCTTCTAGTATCATTACAACCTTGCGAGCAGCAGTAGTGGGACTGTCCCCAATTTCTCGGCTTGGAGGATTGTAATCTGAGATTTTGAGTGCTGATAGGTATACTGACTCGATTTCTTGAAAAAGAACCTCGATACCAATATTGAGACCATCTGCCACAAACTTGTCCACATCACCTTCTAATTTCTTTTTGGATTGAAGGGACGGATTCAAAACAGAGTTTTCATTCTTGATGATACCTTTCGAAATCATTTCTTCTTTGTAAAATATGTCCAACATTTGTACAATCATGTCCGCTGTCTGAATCAGCTCAAAAAAAATAACTAAAGTACCAATGGCACTACCGTGTAAAGATGTATCTTCGGAAGTTAGGCCCTTTGGATCGTATTCTTTCAAGTATTTGAGCAGCTTCTCGAAACCGACTTTCAAATGTTCTGTTCCCAAGCATTCAAGTGTCTCCATGAACTGTTCTTGCATCACAGAGTGAATTTCTAATAGAATTGCATTTATGCTAAACTCTTGAAATTGACAAAGTCTCTCTAAAGAATTTCTGGCTTCTTTTAAAACATCAAATGCAAGCTCGGGGCTAAAAACTTTGTTTAGAGACTTGATGTTTTCTGCCAAAATTTTCGCATTTGCTTGGCCCTTAGAATAGTTCACTACATCATCTTTGCTCGTTTCGATGGCTAATTCTTCCGTATTGCCATTAATTGTGAACGCTTTTTTAAAGTTGGACAAAAAATCATTCTTGGATTGAACTCTCACATGTTTCAATATTTTTTCGCTGGTCTGAGCTTCTCGTTCATCAAGACTTCTTTTCCAATCTTTAATTCTTGCCGCGCATAATTCTTTAAAAACTTGTTTCTCTTCATTCATGTACTCCGAGACGTAAGAGTCGTAAGTGACATCAACCAACTGACGGATGAGGACATGATACGATTCCCCGATGTTATCGCACGGAACAAGGTTATCGACTAACGTATTCGTTAGATGCGTATACATCATAGGAATAAACTCCAAATAAACGCCTTTCCTTTTTGCTGAAATGGTCAAAGCCGAAAGAGCATCCTGAAGTTGGTTTGTGATAATCTCCTCGCTAATCTTATACATCATGGGTACATCTTGGGGAAAGATGCGATCAATAACACAAGCTAAATCGTTAAAGACAGATGCTAGCTCGATTATGAACTCAAGAACACGAGCCTCATTCACCGAGCTGGTTTCTTGTATTTCGACTTCGCTCCGTTCGGAATCATTTTGTACGAGATTAGTGGCTTCAAAAAAGTCATGGACTTTAAACTGATCTATATTGAGGAACCTGATATTTTCGTTGTCAAAACAAGTCTTCTGAAGAAAGAAGTCTATTAGGGTTTGATCATTCTTCAATTGGATCAAAATTCCAACGAATTCTCGAGTTTTCGCAAAATCTTGAATATCGTAGTGAATTTCTAATTCCCGAAGAAGAGCATTCTCAAAAATCTCCAAGATGTCAGTGATCTTTTGACGGACAAAATTTTTGGATGATCCACTGGCATCAACACTGTTGTACTTGAGCAAGTTTGATAGAAGCCTAGCCTGATCTTGTGGAGAATGGTAGTTTGTAAAAACTTTCAAGTGATTATATGCCACGTTTTGTTGTAAATCATTGTAGTATTGTTTGAGACAAGTCCTTATCTTCAACATTTGAAATCTTGCCAATTTCGGATGTTTGTATATTCTTGACAAGCAAAGCAATGGGTTCAGTAGGTGCTCAAGATTGCAATCAGATATCTCATCATTCAAGATCTCAATACCATCATCCCAAACACCCATCATTCGTAGCTTCAGCACCCATAGTGCAGGGTCTCTCACCGCCTTGTATGCGTTTTTGGAGACGAGAGAGAACTGTAAAAGATCAGGGATTTCCAAGTACCTGGAGATGGAACGAGCTACAGAAAGCGGAATGACTTTCTCATTATAAACATCAATGTCTGTATTCCAGAGCACTTGAGCCATTTGAAGGAAAGAGGAGGCTATGCTTGTTTGAATAGTGAGGCTCGCGCACTGTATTTAAAGAAGATGGGGTCGCATTGTATAATTGCGTCTAAAATTAGAGGCTCTCGAGAATGCAACACGAATAAATGACAACTCAAGGATGATTGCACTAGAAATTGACATCTTTTATATTTTGATATTACGGTGGAGCGAAACTTTCAGGGCTAGAAAGGAAGAATAGATGCCGAGTTTCAATATCCATCAGAGAAAGCATATTTTAGTTGCAATAGCGAATACAATTACCAAGGGTGTTTTCTTTTTATCAAAGATCCAATTTCAAGTTCGATAAGATTTTTAGGAAGAAACCTGTATTCGGAATGTCTTTAATTCTTTTGGGGCCATGACACTTTTGAAGCTTGTAGAAAAATGTTTGAAAAGTGTGGTGGTGAATAGGCTATGAATATCCCTACCGTTCGTCCTTTTATAAAGATCTCGAATTAGTTTCTCCAAGAATAATTCCCTAAGATTTTCATATGAATCTTAATCTGCATGTGTTTCTGAACTCGGAAGTTTTCTATGCGCCAATAAATACTCCAAAACATTCATGGAACCTTTAAAGGACACTCGAAAATCGTTCCGAAGACACATATCAACACATTGTCTTATTTGATGTTTTGCAAGGAGTTTTTTTATGATAACCTGAAAGTCTTCCGAGTTAATACCGTTTTTTGTTTTGAATATTACCTGAAGAATCTTTTCTGCTGCCTCTTCCCTGTCTTGAGAAATAAAAGAGGCAAATAACAGCGAGAGCGTGTTTCTCTTTAAGGGAGGTTTCAAGCTTTTAGTAATATACTCAAAGTTGGTACGATATTTCGGACTTTGACCAAAGTATGCAATCAAAAAGTCCACGATATCAGGATCTGTGTATAGTGTTTTTGGAAAGTAATTGAACAATAAGTCAGCAGATTCCTCATCATTTAGCTTTTCAATGAGAGATTGGAATAATATAACATTTTTCTGGGCAAATTCAGGATTCGAGTTCTGGTTCAACTTCCACATCTCCGCTGCCCTGTTAGAGTTCCCGTGCTTCAAGTTCGCGATTATTAGACGTTTTCTTGTTTCTATCAAGCTTCGGGCAAGAAGTGGGTTTTGGTTATATCTTTCTTGAAATTTATCATGCAATAGATTCGCGAAATACGGTGTTTGACTCAATGTCATATTTCGAATCGCTTTGAGAATAACCCTAGGCGAACACTCTCGCTCAAAAGCAAGCATTATTCTAAAAATTGCAAAATAATTGTAATTGCTCATCATAGCGTCATTTACACTAAGGGCGGAAATCAATCTTTCCGACGTTTCTGCTTTAACTTCAACTGGTAACTCTTTCGTGAGAAGTAGAAACAGTGCACCCACCAA